CACCTAGTTGTAGCCAATTTAAAACTGAAGCTAAAAAAGAACTGGACAAGTGGACAAACAGCACCACAAAGGTTCAATACAGCCTTCCTTCGACATACTAACAAAATCAATGAATTCAAGATAGCTCTCAACAACAGGTTCCAAGCCTTTCAAGATCTACTGGAAGAAGAAGAAACTACTATGGAGGACAACTGGAAAGGCGTCAAAGAAACATTGACTTCAACGTGTCAAGAGGTTCTGGGTCTAAAGAAGCACCATCATAAGGAATGGATCTCTATAGAAACACTGGACAAGATCAAAGAAAAGAAGAACAAGAAGGCAGCAGTTAACAACATCCGAACACGAGCAGAGAAAGTCCAAGCACAAGCTGAATACATAGAAGCAAACAAAAAAGTGAAGAGAAGCATTAGAGCCGACAAGAAGAAATACGTGGAAGAATTAGCAACGACGGCAGAAAAAGCTGCTAGAGAAGGAAATATGAAACAGCTTCACAATACAACGAAGAAACTAGCAGGGAAATACAGTAAACTAGAGAGACCGGTCAAAGACAAAGAAGGCAAGCCAATCACCGAAATTCAACAACAGCGAAACAGATGGGTAGAATACTTCGAGGAACTCCTGAATAGGCCGGCTCCAATGAATCCATCGGACATCGAAGCAGCACACATAGATCTTCCTATAGATGTCAACCCACCAACGACGGAAGAAATTAGAATGGCCGTCAGACAAATCAAGAACGGGAAAGCAGCAGGACCCGACAACATACCAGCCGAAGCACTGAAATCAGACATCGAAGCAACCACAAGCATGCTTTACCCTCTATTCAAAAAGATTTGGGAGGAGGAACAAGTGCCTATGGACTGGAAAGAAGGACACCTCGTCAAGATTCCAAAGAAAGGAGATCTGAGCAAACGTGAAAACTACAGAGGCATTACACTACTGTCAATACCAGGGAAAGTCTTTAACAGAGTTTTGCTGAACCGGATGAAAGATGCAGTAGACGCCCAACTTCGAGATCAACAAGCTGGATTCCGTATAGATCAGTCGTGCACAGACCAAATTGCAACACTACGGATCATCGTCGAACAATCAGTTGAGTGAAACTCGTCACTATACATCAACTTCATTGATTATGAAAAGGGATTCGACAGTGTGGATAGGAGGACGTTTTGGAAACTTTTTCGACACTAAGGAGTTCCTGAGAAGATTGTCAACACTATCCGGAACTCATACGACGGACTACAGTGCAAAGTAGTGCATGGAGGACAGCTGACAGATGCATTCCAAGTAAGGACCGGGGTCAGACAAGGCTGTTTACTCTCTCCCTTCCTCTTTCTTCTGGTGGTCGACTGGATTATGAAGACCTCAACATCTGAAGGAAAACACGGCATACAATTGACAGCTCAGAACCAATTAGACGATTTGGACTTCGCAGATGACCTAGCCCTCCTATCGCGTACACACGAACAGATGCAGATAAAGACAGCCGATGTAGCAGCAGTCTCTGCATCAGTAGGCCTCAGTATACAGAAAGGGAAAACCAAGGTCCTCAAATTCAAAGCGGAGAACAACAATCCAATCACTCTTGATGGCGAAACTCTGGAAGATGTAGAATCCTTCACATACCTAGGAAGCATCGTCTATGGACAAGGAGGTTCAGATGCAGACGTAAAGGTGAGGATTGGTAAAGCAAGGGCCGCATTCCTACAACTGAAGAACATATGGAACTCAAAACAACTTTCAACCAATATCAAAGTGAGAATCTTCAATACGAACGTCAAGGCAGTTCTACTGTATGGAGCTGAAACTTGGAGAACTACAACAACCACAATCAAGAAAGTACAAGTATTTATAAATAGCTGTCTACGCAAGATACTCAACATCCATTGGCCGGATACCATCAGCAATAGCCTTCTGTGGGAGAGAACAAACCAACTTCCAGCTGAAGAAGAAATTAGGAAAAGACGATGGAAATGGATAGGACATACATTACGCAAATCGTCAAACTGCATCACGAGGCAAGCTCCAACTTGGAATCCTGAAGGGAAGCGGAAAAGAGGAAGGCCAAAGAACACATTACGTCGGATAATAGAAGCAGATATGAAAAGGATGAATTACAACTGGAAGGAGCTGGAAAGGATTGCCCAGGACAGGGTTGGATGGAGAATGCTGGTGAGCGGCCTATGCTCCTTCACGAGGAGTAACAGGCGTAAGTAAGTAAGTAAGGATACACACTAATAGAATAATTCTTAGGATTTAAAAATTCCAGTTGATTAAATCATACTACCTATTTCGGTTATCTACCTTTCTGTGAAGAAATTATGATTGTCTACCATGTTCAATTATTTCAGAATTTCGTTTTGATTTATTTTAAAGTCATCTTAACACATACCATTTTGAGTTCTTATTAGTGAATAATTCTACTACTCAGAAACTATATAAATGATGCTAATCAGACAACAGAACACTTCAACTCACTGGTTTTAATTACTGGTTCTTTTCATTTCAAACATAACATAGTTCTTAGCACATCGTTCAGTTAGCAGTTGGGTATAGTCGATTTGGTACAGATCTCTTTTTGTGACTCAAACACTTTTCATCTAAAGGACTGAACATCAAAATGTATTTCTAAAACGTTTTTTACTCATGAATCCTTTGTGTTGTCCAGAAAATCTAAAAGCCATCAAAGCTCTCCAACTCATAAGTGAATTTCGCAATAGCGATTTCGCGAATGATTGACAAGTTTCTACGAAACCACTTAGGACATGAAAAGAATCCTGGAAGAAACCTATTTTCACTCCGAAAAATGAGATCCCTTTGAGATATTGCTAAAATATTAAAATCGAAAGCAGATCCTCAACCTTGTATAACTAATAAGCTTCCTAAACTAATGTACTAGTAAATGCTTGATTGTTCCTCAAGCGAACTAATTCTGATTGAAAAATGGTTTCAAGATAGGCTCAGAAGCATTGTTAAAAAAAAAAGAACAACAAATTTCACTTGTACGCATAATTCACATTTGATTTCTGGAATTAATTCAGTTTTAAAATATTTTCTTTGGTGTCGTTCATCCCTAAATTATATCATTTGACGAACTTGTGTAAAATAGCAAGAAATGGATAACTGTTTATTTTTATAGTTTCTGATGCTAATGTAAGAATGTATACCTATGTCTTCACATGGAATCATGCTTAAAAGCTTAAAATTTCACGATTTTGTCATCTTTCAAAGGTTTTTCACTAATAATAATATTAAGTTCACTATATTCCAGTATCCACAAAATTAAATTTTCAGAAATATAAAATCACCAACAGGAAGTATGTATGATAGGCTTTATTGTTTCGAAATATCGATGAATGATTCTGTTTTAATATGATGAATATTGACTTAGTAAATCCTATAACCATCATCATACTAAATTAACATGTTCATACACGCTTGAATTAATACATAAACTTAACCAATTGAGTATATAATATAATGTATGTGGGTGTCTTATAATTAAGAATTTTAAACTAATTATTACTATATTGATTATCAGTTAACTGCAAAGATGCTCCACCTTCTATTCAAGAAGATTTGTAAGGAAGAACAAGTGCCAACACTTTGGAAAGAAGGATACTGCATCAACATACCAGAGAAAGGAGATCTGAGAAAATGTGAAAAATGCAGAGGTATCATACTAATGTCAGTACTAGGAAAGGTTTCCAACAGAGTGTTGCTGAACTGAATGAAGGATTTAGTAGACGACCAACTTCGAGATCAACAGAATGGATTTCGTAAAGATCGGTCGTGCACAGACCGAATGCCGACACTATGGATCATCGTTGAACAATCAAATGAATGGAATTCGTCACTGTTAATCAACTTCCTTGACTATGAGGACCTTATGGAGCTTTGTTTGACACTATGGTGTATCCGAGAAGATCGCCATTATTATCCGCAATTGATACGATGGACTATGCTGTGAAGTTGTGCATGGAGGACAGCTTCCAGATGCATTCTAAGTGAGAACCGATGTCAGACAAGGCTGCTTACCCCCCCCCTTTCTATTTCTTCTGGTGGTCGACTGAGTTATGATGACTTCCACATCTGACGGGAAGCACGGAATACAGTAGACAGCTTGGATGGAACTGAACGATAGCTCTTCTATCCCATACACATCAATAAATGCAAGTTAAGAAAGTAGGTCTCAACACACATGGGAAAAGTAAGACCTTGAAATGCAATACAGAGAACACCAACCCAATCATACTTGATGAAGAAGCTCTGGAATAAGTTTAAACTGACGTACCTGGGTAGCATTACTGATGAACCCGGAGGATCCAATTAGATGTAAAGGCAACATTCCTACAATTTAAAAGCACGTAGAACTCAAAACAACTGTCAGCCAACAACAAAGCTAGAACTTTCAATACGAGCGTCAAAACAGTTCTACTGTACGAAGATGAAACTTGAAGAACCACCACGATTATCATCAAAGAAGAACAGGTATTTATAAACGATTTTCTACACAAGATACTGAATGTCCGTTGGTCGGATACCATTAGAAATGACCTACCGTGGAAGAGAACAAACGAACTTCCAAATGAATAGGGAATTAGGAAAAAGCGTTGAAAGTGGATAGGACATACATTGAGGAAATCATCAGACTGCATCACGAAGCAAGTGTTATATTGAAATCCTGAAGAGGAAAGAAAGGAAAACGACCAAAAAACACAACACGTTGAGAATTTGAAGCAGATATCAAAAGGATGAACAAAAGCGGGAAACAACTATAAAGGATTGCAGGGTACAGAGTTGGATGGAGAATACTGGTGAGCGGTCAATGCTCTTCCACGAGAGGTAACGGGCGTTAGTAAGTAAGTAATATAACCTGTCATGATGTTGAATAGCCATAAACATTGCGACTACCTATTTGAGTTCTTCAGAAGAACAAAATCAAGTTAACCATTGCTACTTAACAGGTAGACATGACAGCGAGTATAATTTATGGTTACCTGAATACTGATCTGCTGGACATGATTTACATGATTCGGCTCCTTCAGCTGAATATGTGTTTCTTGGACATAACTCACAACGATCAGCTTTTTCTCGTGGTCCAAAACTGCCAGCTGCACATGGCGTACATACAGTCACTGGTGGAGTTCCAGTTAAACGAATTTCTTTAATATGTAATTCAGGATCTTTTAATCCATACAATTGTTGTATATAAACATTTTCAACAAGTAAATACCATTGAAGAATATTATGGCCAACTGGAACGCTGAATGTCACAGTCTCATATGCATACGATCCGGTAAGACCTAAAAGAAAACTCCCACCGGGTAATTGTGTACATCGTTCATTTCTTATCTGAAAAATAAAATAAATCCTTGACAAATGAATTAATGTTTTATCAAATCATTACATCATCTTGGTTATAACTTCAGAAATATTTCAGTCTTCAATTAAAATGAATGATTTCTTTAAAAAAAAACATGATCAATTCAAGCATCTGTTTTATCATCATCCATTAGAGATCACCATAAAATAACTGGGAATTTAAAAATGATATCTTAATGATTATATACTTGTTTTGCAAATTGAAAATACAAAATTTCATCTAATAAAACATTTAAAGTGATTGAACTTGAAAAGTTCAAAACTAGAACTACCCATCTATTCACTACTCATTGACTATTAGTTAAATTTCTTTAACACAAATATATGTTCATCAAGAAAAATCATCTGACAGATTGAATAGTTTAAAAATTACTGATGACTGATATTCAGAACGTAATTCTATTTGCTATTTTTTGCAGAAGAATTTATTTAATATTTATCAGTAGATTAATTAATTTGATTACTTAATAGTTGAATTCATGAGTCGATTAAAGCTAAACTACCTTAGAAAACCTAGAAGCACTAGATAGCCGTTTCGTCTTAGTATGAGACTCATCGGCAGTGCTTTATTTAACTCATGAATTCAACTAATAAATTGCTACAATCTCCACAAAACCCATTTCTGATAATGAATTTCATGTGCTCTCTAGTGACTGGCTTCAAGAGGCATTTCCTGGAGATCTAGTGAGAAGCTATGATCAGTACAATTCAAGCGAGTCTGTTGTGAGGCAGTGTCTCATTGAGGAGAATTGTATAAATGGTTGCTCAAGATCATGAAGTGCTCGAAGTTAGACATTAATACCGTCGGATGACGGCTCAGTTGTCTGGAAGTGAAACGTTTGAGTGCGAAACTTAAGGTCTTGGGTTCGAATCCTGCGAGTTGGACCGTGGATGAGCACTGCTGAGGAAATCCATACTAAAAAGAAATGGTCGTCCTATATTTTTAGATTTTCCATGGTGGTCTTTCATCGATTCATGAAATCAAATATTAAATTACTACAAACTCCACAAAACTCCTTTCCGATAATTTCATTATGACACTGTAATTCTTAAAGAGTACTCAATTTTTTTATAAAAAAATTCAGTTAATTCATTCGGTTAATTGGTTAAACTTTCAATGTTATTTAATCTGGTTTATGGCACCTATTATTTGGTTTTTTCGACTATCTAGTCATATAGAATAGATGATGGACTTTATATGGTTAAAAGTTATCAAGATTAGATCAATAAGCTTCTAAAAAAAGAAACTTTAATAAGAAACATAAATCCATTGAAGTCTTAATTTTGTACTGAATCCTTACTTTTATTAAATTAATGTTCAAAATAAAACATTTAAATCTGAAGGTCACTTTTTAAAAAAATCACATCTTATTTTATAATAAAATACTAATAATGAATATAATTACTCAAGTCAAATTCGTATAAAAATTAGTTATTTTCATTTTGTACAACATACTTTAAATTCAATGTTTATATATAAATAAAATTAAACAAAACAATCGCAATATATAAAATCAATATATATATATATATATATATATATATATATATATATATATATTATGAATATTCATAGTTAGAAAATAATTACATGAAACTTATTTAAAGTACCCCCAAATTCCCTGGTATGGACGAGAGTGTGAAGAGTCAGCTTTCCCTCTCTAGAAATGTTCTCACATGAACACATGAATACAGCCGCTGCCAGGGAAGTCCTACTAGCTGCCTTCTCGCGGCGGGGGTGTTGTTTATGAAATTGACAAGATGGAAAATGAATATCCGGCGCTTTAACCAGGTTGGTAGACAAGGAGAGTTCGCCTAGGGGAGTTGGTAAACCCTGATTACAAACCAACGCTGCACATGGGTTCAAGTATCCTGAAGGAACAAAGGGCGTATGAACTTATCGTTGTTCACCGGCTACCATAGGACTGCATCTCCTGACGTTACTCCATTGCCTTGTAGATTAGACCTTTAAGTCAAAGGCTCATGGTGTGACCCGTCTAAAAAACCACCTGCTTCGGTTTGAGCACCCGGGCAGTATCCCAGCCCTCACATAAATCGAAAGATTTATGTGGTGCATATCTGTTTGGTGACTCCTTGTACCAATGTTTACGTGTTTAAATAAAAGAAAATTTCAATTACAGGTTCATATATAAGTTGGATTTAAAAAACGTGTCTTTCTTCATAATTGAACTGTTGTCTAGTCTTTAAAAATTCTTTCATATTTTAGGATAACTAAAATTACAGATAATCAATGATAAAAAAAGATTGTTCTGGACACCTTCTTCATATTGCTAAGCGACTTATCAGTATTGTATACTCATTAGTCCTTAAAGAGATGGAATTCAGTACATTGATAAGGATTTATGTCCATTTGCTATAATTGATTAACAGGGTCAGAGCTTAGTGATTGTTATTTTACGTTTGATGCGCTCACATAATATAATGTTGTGTTTATCTAATCTCAGTAATATTTTTCTACTCTTACACACATATTCTAGATCACTTACTCCACAGATTATGACCTCAAGAATCAATTCTTCAAATTAAGTTGTTAGTTTATGTTGAGTGGTTATTCATATTGAGCGGATATGTTGTGGCCTGCTTAAATCTAGTCCCCACCTTTAGTTGTAAGTACTTGGTAAACTACTGATATACACAACATTATATATCAATATAAATCATTTATAGATAATGCCGTATCGACAAATTCAAAATATCAACATCGGAATAATTCAATCCATTACAAGTTAAATTATTATCCGGCTAAGTATATACGACCAAGCTGGTAGACAAACCAACCATATTTTATTACGCTAACCCCGTTCGGAACTATTTTTATTTCAGATATGTGAGTTTAGCTGGAGAACGTTAACTAACAACCATTTCTACGTCCACACAACCAGAGATACAAGCAGCGCAAAACCAAGTTACCAAATTCATGAAACGAGTATATATATATATATATATATACATATATATATATATATATATATATATATATATATATATATATATGCATCACACATTTATCACTCACAATAAAGAAAGCCAATGCTCCATATTCTTCAACTTGATATGTAAACGTTATTGTTCCAGGCTTAAGATTATGAACTTTCATTGAAAGTATCACAGTGCAACTGCCTGTTGTTTTTCCAACTAGGTGTTTACCTTGAGGTGACCAACCAGTTCTAAGAACAAAATGAAATGAATTCAAAACACTTTAAAGATTAACTATGCACTTTAATGTAAATCAATTTGTACACTTGCAATACGGCAATCATATACAGACCGATTTACACTATCTTGGTTAGATGGCGGCCAAAATGAAATCAAACTACGGTTTTGTAAACAACAAGCAAACCTGGTAAGTTTATCTGTGTTTTAAATCTGCCTAGAATTAAGGATTCGTCCGAACAACATTTTGCGATTATTATTACTCGTTTTGCTACTTTCTATTTAGTTAATTAAATGTTTGTATTGATAACTCCTGGTAAAGCTTGTTCACTAAATATTTTACAACATTCTCATCACGTTGCTCTAAATAATAGCTACCTTAAAATGCTCTCATGCTTCCTATTTCCTTTACTTTTACGAATATTACTAATTGCAACAAGTCCAATGAATGCACTAAACAAATTCTAACTAACTGGCTATAAAGGTTGATAAGCCTAAAGAGGAAATGGGAAAACAAGTAAGTTATGATATGTGAAATCTAGAGATGAAAACGATTTTAGAAGCATAATCAATTCAGAAATATATATCAATTCGACGAAAGCAGTGATAGCTTTCTTTTGAAGTCTAAAATTAGTCTCGAAACATCTTAGAAACATTTTTAACTCTGAAAGCAAGAAACTCAAGTTAAAATAGCATAATCAAGAACAATAAGTCAATAACAATTGGGCACATGTTTTGAAAATCCGAACAAAAATGGAAATCTGTCAATGCTGTCAACAATTCTATACAATATATGTATCTTAAAATCGATTAGACAATCCCCCTGGTAGGCATGAATAACTGTCTTTTCTAAATACGCGGTGTGCTTTTTATTTCAAATTCAAAACACCAAGATTAGGTGACTCCTAATTGACTACCAGTAGACTTTTAGACTAATTCTCTAAGTTCTGCAAACCTGTCTTAAGTTATCGATGGTCTTACACAGCTATGACTTCAAAGCTCAGTCAGATACATAGTTTTACATTTTCGCTTACCCAATAACACCGCATTTGTAGCAGATAATGCCACAAAACTAGTAATTTTCAGGTCATTTACAGCTTCTGTTTGACTTGAATGTGATGAAATCAGTACTCATGAAAACAATTAGAGAATTATATCAGACAGACTGCCGAATATTAAAACATAAAGAGGAAGTTAAGCGCAATAAACCGGAGCAAATTTCGGGATTTATAATCACTCAACTCTAGATAGAAACACTTCACTGAAGCAAGATAATTTTTGCTATCGACATGTTTGAACAACAGTTGCTAAAAATTTTGCCCCAGCGTTATCATATATGCATGGTTAAAGATTTAAAAAGAGGAATAGTGTTCAAGACTAGCACATTATTACTGAAAACTGTGCAGAAAGACTATATCAATGTGGTCCTAATATTCAATTTGCGTTTAAATTATGTTGATGAAATAAATCTTAGTGATGGTGATAGGTTGTAGGCAAAGAATTGTTGAAATATTAAGCGGACAAAACTTGATCAAAGTAATTACGCTAAATGCCGATTTGAGCTTTTTCATTGTCAGCACTTTGCATATTATATCGACAAGCAGAACAGTCATATTTGCTTAATTATTCCAGGTCAGTAATCACGACTGACTTTCACTAAAAGCTGAATAGTAACTAAGTTGAAGATAATCAATGGCACTCTGATCAAGTAGTCAGTTCATCCACATGAGTCTTTTCTATCCTATGAAATTAGACGTTGTAGTGACCTACTTTTATCAAGAGAACGCCATTGGTGTGATGGAAACAATTATTATTATAACCAATTGTACCACGGATTGTTTTACCGTACTTGTTTGTTTAACTGTACCAAAACGCATACATTCTTTTGTTGATTGTGACCTTGCACTCACTTACGTTTTGCTCAGTGATTCCGCTTGTACTCTTTTGGCACGATCTCGGTATTCTTTCGATACCACAAGATCGCCAACAAATATATATCGCTACAACCTCCAGTCACCTTCTGATATCTGGTACGCAAACTTCTTGTGGTGGTGATCATAGTCAACCGCGACTCGACGCCACGCTACAACGTACACTACGGTGGAAAGTTAAATAAGTTCAAATAAGACAGTTTTAAGGTGTCTAATAAATTTTAAAAGTGACAACCTAGTTAATTAGCACTATCAAGCTTACCAAGCCACTAAAGTAGTAAATAATTTATGATTAACCTTAAGCTGAAGGAAAGGTGTCAAGGCGAGAATCCCCAGTGCGATGAACAGTGAACATGCTTGTTCGTGACCTGTATGGTGTTAAAATGGAAACTACTGGGTTCTACATCAGTGTTATAAAGAGTCAAGAGCTCTCCTCTAAACTTGAAATATTGTTAACGTGTTTAGCATGAATTAAACCACTTTTGAACCTACAAAGAGTATTTGATATGACGAGATTTTGTACGACCGAGGTTTAAAGCATACTCAGCGATTATCAGGAATATTCAACATTTTATTCAGTCTTTGATTTATTCTCCACTGTTACCGACTTAAGACTAATACAAAATCCTTTCAAAATGAATATTCAATTATTAAAATAATAACTTGTCTCAGACAAAGCTAAAACTTGCAACCTGATCATAAATAAATAACTGGTTCAGTAATGATTTGCATTACATATTTTGTATTTGTCAGTTTCTACTCGTTAGTTATTTCCATCATACCTTATTTGAATGGCTTAGACGTTTTCCCTCTATTACTAGTCTTTGTATTTCATCTTGTCACCAGAAATTTCTGTCGTTGTGAGTAATCGCGAATGCTTAGATTTACTTCTTACTTCTGTTTAATAAAAAGCAGGTCAAACACAATTTTAAAAATGTAGTGCCTTAGCTTAACCTGTACTTCGTGGTAACTAAATTAAACTTCCACTATGAATTCGTGGATATGTGGTACGCACAAAACTATGAAGCTAATTGCAGGGTAAGTCATGCCATCGACCGCACAGAACTGCGAAAACTCATTTATGTACTTTTTGGTGGCATCTTTATTGAACTAAAAACTGGAAATTTACATTACAGCTAAGTATATACAAGTTACATTTGACGCATGTGGAAGTGAAATTAAATTATGTGGATAAAAGATCACTGACCACCTATCTATGGTAACTAAATGCTACATGTATTTTTCAGGAACAATGTTCATAACTAGAGCATGAAATAAAGAGGTATGTATTAAGATATCTCAATGTTTAGACTTCAAATACTCACAAGTTGCATTTTTCATTAGTTAAACTTCCGTACGTTGTATCAGAGGTCAGAAAATCTGGCATCGAATCCCATTTCGTTACTTCAAGCATATCACCTGTTGAATACGTTCCGGATGGACAGACCTCACAGTTCTGTGACAATAGGTTAAGATGCATTCCACTTGGACAAGTTGTCTCTGGAAAAATGAAGCAACATCAAAACTTTCTTACCACAATTGTCTACTTTCCTTGGTAAACTCAAACTGTTTAGGTCACATTTTCTATCATCCTTTGGTATTTTGAAAAGCCATCTACTTCCAGAGGTATCACAACTTGTGCTTTTTATTTGTAAGTCACTCTATAAAGAATAAATTATAAATATGTATGACAAGTACTTCTCGACATGATTGTGTATAAATAAAGCTTATAAAGAACGAAAGAAATATAAAGCGTAAAGGCATCATTGGACAAATAAACGCTCATTTAATGTTTATCAGTATGTAAATACTTAGAACAGTAAAACAAAAGCCGTAGTTTAAAAGAAGACGTACAGTGAATACTGAAGATAAATCTTTAAAAATACATATTTTAATTATCCAGTTAATTATCGTCATTAACTGCTTTTTTTGTAGTTGGCTTCGAGGACTGGAAACAGAAAACGCCCACTGTGGTCTTCTCTGTGACGAAAGCCTGAAAAACTTATTTCTAAAATGAGCGTAAACGCTGACACGATGAGAGTTTGAAGGATGTTGGACTTAATACTTTTTGGTTTAGTGATAACGTTTTATTTCATCAAAAGAAATCCCAAAATATTCTAGTCATATTCAAGTGTAAGTTATTCAATTTAAGTAATTCCTTCGACCACTCCTACTGACCAGTAACAAAGTTTTTGCCCTTCAATCTTCCTGAGGGTCCAAGAAGTAATTAAGTAATATAGGCGATATCTCTTCAGATTTCTACACTAATGCCAATGTATTATCGCCCTGAAATTTCCTCAAAATGACTGAAGTTAAATCGTTGCTTCGAACTCGGTTGCTTACAAACGATGTGTCGCTCTCAATTTCATTGTCACTCAGCCTGGATGACATGAAATTCCACCTCTTGTCTGATCATATATATCTATGATTTCCGAAGCTGTAGCTCAAACCTTTCCAAATTACATTACAGGCATCAGCAAATAACCCTTGACAGGATGATGTTTTTGTTTGTATTTTTCCAGATTGACGTTTTTGGATAAATACATTTGATCGTGTTGAAATCTGTTTAAATATAAACAATGCAGGCTGGGGTCAGCAGAATTATGCTGATCTTGTTCTATCAATAGTCCTCATACCTATCGATAGCTTTAGGTGCAAACTTGACAGCTTGGTAGCAATATAATTAGATTCTATGGCGTCAGTAATTCAAAATGTATGAACTCCAAAGGTAGCGGACAGTAAATGGTTTGAGGTTCTGGAGAATCAGACTTTATTTAGACATTCTACACAAACTACAAAGACTCATATCGTTGCCCAAGTAAAGAGACAACGAAAACCCTAATGAACTAGTCTTCTTAACTATCACATAGCAGGATATCTCAATTCTTTTCAGTGTTGGGAAATGTGACATCATAATCATTAGGTACGAATGAGTTTTATTACGTCTTTATGAAACAGCTGTCTGTGACATAACTTGTTGGTTCAGTCTGATCTGACAATCGATAATAGTTACCCTCGTTGTATTGCATCCACAACTTGAATGTGGATTCCCTTGCCGTGAAATCTGATCACACGACTGATATTCTCTGTTAAGTAATACAACCTTATTTGACTGCTTAACAAGAGGATTATGAACTGACTAGACAAAGGGAGTTTCGGTGATATAACCACCACATCTGTGTTGATAACTACTGTTCACATCCACTCAAAATATTTGGGTCACTATCAACTATGAAGACCATCAAAACTTTTGTTCCAGAAACTTCGGATAGACAAAAGTTCTTCATCAATAATTGTTATATTCCCATATTCACCAACCGCAAGCTTAATGCGTGAAGAATCTCAAAAAAGTTATTTATCCGAGATAAAATTCGCGTTACTTTTCAACTGATAATTTTGGTGTGGAAAGTTGACTATTCGGTATAACTCTTTGCTTTCTTGATTACACTGTAATTCAATCTACATGTTTTCAAGTTGTATTCGTACTTCTTGAATTAAATCGCGGATGATTTGTCTTGCGTTCAATGACATTTCATCGGAATTACAATTTGAACGTACGCTGAGAAAAATGATCTAAATTTATGTGCAAATCAATTTATATCGTTAACTTTTCAATTTAATGTGACAGGTTGAAGCTGAAGCCACGGATATCAGAGCTAAGTTATTGGATATTGAGCTTGCTTATTTCGCTTAGAAAATCAAGGTAGAGCTGTAATTAGAAAGCCCCTCACTGTTCGAATGAGAAAACAATGCTCACTTTATTTAATTGGATTATTGTTTTAATAGTCATTCTTATTTATGGTTTGGGCGAGTACATATCACTAGTAAATGGGTTTAATATCGATTTAAAATCTCCACTCCTCAAAACTGGACCAGATGGTTCTAGTTTTGGTTTTTCCTTATTGGGATATACTCACTTTTCAGGACAGAAAGGGTATATCACTTCATTATTTTCATATTTTTATGTTTATATAGGGTGGTCATAGGATCTCCAACAGAGGGAAACAACGGTGGACTGTTTTGGTGTCCACTTTTGAGGAGCACGTGTAGTAGGATCGATATTGATCTAGAAAAAGAGACTCATATGCAACCTGGACTAAATGGAGCACTTTTAGGATATTCAATGTCTTCAGCTTTTAACAACAGCCGGGGACCGATTACTGTAAGTTAGCTGAAAGATTCTCCTTGTTTTATTTATCCCTTTTTCCTTACACCATCAAACAGTTCAAAAGTAATCCAAGTCGTTTTAAACGTGAAATATAACAAGATTTATTTACGAACTATTTAAAAACCGTAAACGTCCGGTCATATTTTTATTGTAAGGTCATTAATCGTCAGAAATCCCAGTTTTTATACTCGTTTCATGTTTGCCATACGTGGAAAAGAGATATCTCATTATCTCATAAACAACTCAGACTTCCTTGTTATTTCACACCTGGACTGGTTATATCTGATAAGCACACGTTCGGTAACATCGTGTTAAAAATCTTTTGCCGATCTTTCACACCCTAAATTGGGTTAACTTCATAAATCATATGGACTTTGTCAATCTTTGCCATCACGAAGTGATGGGATCTCTAAAATTCATTAATCTGTCTGCCAAAATGCGCCTAGTTAATGAATTACAGGTTTACAGTCACCTAAGTAAAGAATTGTGGTCTGAACAAAAGTTAAAATCGTTGCGTATATTAGTGATTTGGAATATTGTAAAGTACTATTCTTCATAATTAACATGGTGGTAAAAAGGTTGTTGCAAATGACTATATGAAAAAATTTCTTCGTAAAGACGCCAGATAGAAATGTAAAGATTAGAGTTTCTGTCAAGATTTTTTTCATTTCTAAGAACTCTTTACACATAGAAACACAAATCTGTAAACCAATTCTAGGTTTAAATATTCCTACAAGCTCTCGAATATGATTTTCTTTATCAGTCCATACTTTTATATGTGTTATACTTACATAAAATGTTTAAGAAAAACCTAACGGGTCGATTAAAAGCGAACCGTGTTTTTAACAAGATATTAAAAGTTTACCTTGTAGGTTTTTTAATTTCAACGACCGTTTTGCTATTGAAAACTGCTTATTAGACTTTGTAGTCCAACAATGACTACACCTACCGTGATAGATAATTGTTTTCAACCATTTATTGCCAGTAGTTGGTAACTGAGTTACTGTTTAATAGCTCTACACTGTCAAAAAATACGTTTGATATTTTGAGTTCTTCCGTTAGAATACATCCAAAAGTTATGTGCATAATAGACACCAGAGTAATTTGTAAATAAAATACAAATAAACTGGGATTTTTTGACAATGTTTTATGTTGCTAATGCGGTTAGACAGAAGAATCCAGCTGCCACTGATGATGATTAAAAATATTCACATATATTAACAGAATTGTTAAATCGTGCTTAATATAGACACAAAATATGATTTTTACTAAAATTTCAGAAAAATAAGGTATATAACATCTTAATTCATTCAGTGAGGTTAGAATCTCACTCTCGCTTCATACCAGATACGTTTAAATTGCGCATAGAACAAATACAGATCACCTAGATTATTGTAACGTAACTACTCAGTTGTCAATATTATTACCCGTGCTACTATTTTTGTGAAGATATCAAATTATATCATGTAAAACATATTTACTAGTATTAGTTGAAGAAGTGTTACACCTGAATACAAAATGCTGCACTGTACAAAGCGAGTGATAAAATAAGTCATAATTGGGTTTTTTCATACAACAAAAACTCATTGGTTAGTTTATTTAATTCAAGTTTAGTCACATTCATTAGGAATCTCCATTATGAAACTAATCAGTGATTGTTCCTAAATGAATTCATGAAAATGTTTTTGGTTTGGGTTCAAGCAGAGGTTATGGCACAAAAGATCAAACACATCCATTTGGCCAGCTACCATGTAATGTCCGAATTGTTTGGTACACACCAACAGTGGTTTAGCAGACCTAAATAGATGCTGTATTTTGTGTACGTATACGCATTTTTTGGTAGAAAAATGGCATAGTTGTAAATTTATCTTATCTACATTTGTACAGCGTTAGCGGTTGTCATCCCACACATTACTGACAACATCCTTTTTGTGTGAGTAAAATCCGAATAAGCCCGACATATAGGTTTAATTTACGTATCTTGTCGATTCCTCCTAACTTAGAAGAGCGAAGAATATTGGACACGCAATCAATCATACAATGTCATTTTCACTTCCTAATGACATTATAGAGTTATCCTCTTCAATCCAAGACGTTCCAAAAATTTCTAAGTAGTTTTATTTTGGAAACACTATGTAAACATACAATGGTCAGGAGCACTTTTTATAGTCATTATCTTAAAATCTATTGGCTCATCACATAATAACTTGAACAATTTCATTAAGAGAATGTTTAAGCCACTAATTTAGTAATAACTCCAGTAAAATATATATGCGCATCTACTAGTCTTAGTTTTTCGCCCACAGAATAAGATCTCAATTATGATTTAAATGTTAAATAAGGTTGCTTTTACTAATACAATTTTGGAAAGACGAATAATTACTTTAATGGCCATTTCAATTGAATTACAGAATAATGTTTAAAAATTTTGTTGACAAATAAGTTTTTTATATGAAACTTGACAAGCATAGGGAACTGCACTGAAAAGTGTGCTTCTCTGTGTGTGATAGAGAGAATGTGATAATGTAACAATCCGGACCATACGAAACAGTTTTATGGTGAGTAAATGGGAGCATAAAAAATGCAAAGTTAGAATACATTCCGAAATAATTTACATTCTAAGCTGATTGAACCGAATTGATGAATAAATATTTTTTAAACGTTTTAGGCTAACGTTAAACGAATTTATTCGAAGGCTTGTATTTGAAACACAAAGTACTATGTTTGAATCCTACTGTAAATACTAAAACTAAAATGCAGGGATATTCTGCTGATGAGTCACAAGTAGGTCAAAATATGCGTCCCAAACTTCTATGCTAGTCACAATCTAAATGAATCTATACATGTGTTCATTAGTTGCTGATTTTTCTTTGATTATATCAGCCAGTAATAGCTTGCCTGTAGTCTGATGATCTTCAGCACTGATCTAACAATCTACATAGCTCACCATGTTAGAAGCAATTGTTCATAAATTGTAGAGCTACCGAGTAGAGTTAGTAAAATTTCAGAAAAGTATGAACCGGAGTCAATTACTGACCTACGTATATAAAATTTACTCGGGTACCATAGTTGCAAATTCACTCTTCGACACCTGGGTCCGATGCTGAATGAAGTAGGAAGAGACTGGGAAAAATTCAACTACCACAGATGTTGGCTAAGACCGTTTCCTCTAGTTGGAACCAAATAGAATCATAATACATTTATATCAGTTTTCTGAATCCTTTTATTGGTGTATAGGACTGTAACTGATCAATTTCTTTCGGCAGATATGCATCCTGTATGAGTTGCTGTAATATTATCATGAGGTGATGAGCATTTTAAACACAGACGAATAGGGGGCTGGCACATAAACCAAAAGTAACCCATTAATTGCATACCTAAACATCAGTGTGAAAATTAAAACAACAAAAAACAAAATTCACCTCAATGCACAAAATGGTGGCTGCCTGGGCATAGTGGCTAAATGGATAGCACAATGACTTTTGAAGCAAAAGTTACTGGGTTCTAATTCAAAAATGGACATTAATTCTGGGATGCAGGTACTCTCAGCTGATGAATCAGAAATGCAACAAAAAGCGCATCCCGGATTTTACTACTAGTCACCATCCATCTCTGCTTAAGAAATAGAACCATGTTGGATGAAATGAAACCAGAAGAAATACTATGACTTATCATTAATAAAATATTATGGTCCGGTTACTTATTTCCCTATTAGAGCTTTCAATGTGTGTTATACATCGAGAATAACAAATCAGTCCCTTAAATAATCCGTTTGATCAATAAAGTTTCATTTATCTTAGTATTCTCTCTATCTTAATCCCAACTGATAACAATTTATAGTCTAATCAATGGTGTCATGCGCCTGTATTCAATCACTTGGTTATAACAGCTATTAGTTACTACCAGTACTAATGATTCTAAAGTTTTGCATTTTTATTTAAAACAATGTTATTTTCTTTTTATCTACTCAAGTCTAAGTAACACACAATCAGATGGATTTGATTTGTATGAGTAAAAAAAGTGTTGGGCTGCCCGAAGAATATACTTGTATCTATATGCATAAGCCAGTATGTACATATACACAGAACATAATATAAATCTGCTCATCTAATGAACATTTACCTGTTATTGAACAATTGAGCAGATATATATACACACATATATATACACAAGTTGAATACATTTTTTCTCTTATTTATATGTATATTTAAAGAATGAGTAATTGTTAGTACATTGAAATATATGAGAGATTAATGTAGCAGCATTTATTTATACTTTTGTTTAGTATTCTTAACCATTTAAATTAAAAGAAAAATGTAAGAACAAATAATAATAATAATAACAGTAATAGCCTTGAAGAATAAGTTATGAGTCACTCATTATTGACTTTAAGTATTTGACTTGTTTTGTTGTTTGTTTGTTTGTTTTTTAAACTTAAATCATTGTCCTGACAACTAAGTTTATCCATTTCTGTAGAAACTGCTACATATTTCAGTTCGATCCGAACAAGCTATATATATATATATATATATATATATATATATATATATATTCACATGGAAACAAATGTGTTATTATGTTTTTATAGGTACACAACAAGTATTTTATGTTTAATTCACATTTCTAAATGATGTATTCTATTGATACCATTTACGAATCTGTTGAAATCATGAATTGTTTTTTATTTACAATGTCTATTTCAATTACAAAAATGAGATAATTAAACAATTAAAAATGGTGTAGAAATTATCTGTTCTACTGATTGAACTTTATCCTTGGTTTCTAAAAAAAAAATTACAAATTCTCAATTTCGATTTTGATTTTTTTGTTGTTGGACATTTGTTTAGATCTTTATACAGATCAAAACCTAATTTCATATGTTGAAACATTTTAAAAATATTGTAAATAGTGTAATTTTTATGGAATAGAGCCAAATTAGTAATATTGCTATAAGATACGTTTTTAGATTTTCATTACAATTTCAGTACAGTTGA